CTTAATCTTAAAGGTGCTGTATGTAAGTTGTTGACTCTACTAAATCATAAAAATACCATAATATGTTTGCAGATATTTATGAAACATGCTAGGTTAACATACTTGTTTATCTGAAAAACAATGCTACAGTCAGTTATTCTCCTTTGAAAATGTGCGTTCCGGGCCGGAAAGTCGGTCTGTGTTTTGGTTTGTGAAACCCACACACTGCCAGTTTACCCAATTGTATTTCGGTACCCCGGGTTGCCAGTTGGCAGAAAACACAGCGTATGGCAACCATGGAAGCCAACAAATAAACTGCGTCAGACATTGCAAATTCTACCTGACCTAAAAAGCCTCGGCATCCATCTAAAAACCTCTATGTCCAGAAGCTCATCAGCATACAGTGTCAATTGCACATGTTCCTGTTGCGTGTCCTCAATCTGGCAAGGTACCCCGGGTTGCCAGTTGGCAAAAAACAGCGCATTTAATTTCATTCATCGTCTAGTGCGCTCGTTCCTGTTGGTGTCGTCAATCTGGCAACCTGCGTGTGCGTCAAGTCTGAGGAGGAGGGGCCGGGTGAAAAAACCCTCTCCAATATTTTGAATTTGGACTGCAATACCTAGTTCAACCACTCGGTGTCAATCCTACATACAGCACCTTTAAAGGATAGTTCACCCAAAAATGAAAATTCTGATAGCTTCTAAGGCTATGCTTACACTAGTGTGTTTTCATTTTAAAACGCATAACTTATGCTACAGTTACGTCTGTCGTTTACACTACTCCGGCGTTTTCAACCCTCGAAAACAGACTTGAAAACGCTGCAGACCCCATTTCAGTGTAAACGGAGCAAAACGGAGACTTTTGAAAATGATGGCGTGGCTGCCCACATTCTCTCTCTGCGTATCCTGCGTGTACGACCGTGTAAAGGATAACATCATGCTCATTGTTGTACCCATAGAGATATATATATATATATATATATATATATATAGGTAGATTCCCCATTCTACCGCTCCAAGCACACAGACTATGGTTATATTATCATATAATTATATTAACCATACCATCTATGGTTGTACCTGCATGAATGGTCATGTGACATGCTTTTTCGGTTGTGTAGTGTAGACGGAGATCGTTTCTGAAAAGCAGTGAAAACGACAGTGTAGACGAGGATCGTTTTCATTTTAAAATGCCGAAAACTTATTTAAAACGAAAACGTACTAAACAGAGCCTAAGTCAGCAGCACCACACAAATGCATTGTGGTACTCTTGTAAACGCCCGTCGAAAACTGACATAGAAAAGAAGAAATTGTTGAATTGCTGAAGTTGTTATTTTTGTTCTTTTTGCACACAAAAAGTATCCTCGTAGCTTCATAAAATTAAGGCTGAACCACTGATACCACATGGGCTATTTTAACGATGTCCTTACTATCTTTCTGGGCCTTGAACATGGTAGTTGCGTTGCTGTCTATGCAGGGTCAGAAAGCTCTCGGATTTCATCAAAAATAGCTTAATTTGTGTTTCGAATATGTCTTACGAGTGTGAAACAACATGAGGGTGAGTAACAAATTACAGAATTTTCATTTTTGGGTGAACTATTGCTTTAATGTCATTATTATATTGAATGGAGGCCAAACAATGTTCAGTCATTTCTGTGCAACTCAGTTTAATGATCATCTGGTCCAATTTTGGTAAGAATATTGACTGTTTTTGAACAGGTTTTCCTGTCTGCCATTGGTTAGTCAAAGAGATAGCTGTGCCCAGAACACATGCCATTGGTTGAGCCAATGATACTGTGTCAACATGCTCAAATAAACATACAGTATACAAAACAGTGTACGAATGGCTTATTTAAAGTTGTCCCTACATAGTAAACTGGGATAGGAAAATTATGTTTAATATTGAGTAACACCAGTTTTTTCATAGTGGGCCTATAGGCCATTATATTACCATTGGTATGAAAAACGAAAACAAAAAATACACAGTCTGTACAGTAGGCTATCTGTTGAAAAACCTCACAATTAAACACCTTGGCCACACCTTTAGACATAAAGAAAAGGAACTGACAAAAGTGCTATTTCTTCAGAAAAAGAGCATTTATTCATGGCTATTATTGTTCCTTTTTTTTTTTTGCTTTGGAAAAATTGCCTGGTGCAATCACAAACAGGTCCACCTCTCTCATTCAAAGAGAAAAAGAGAATATAAAGTAGGGCTGCACGATAAATCGAAATGGAATCGAGATCGCGATTCGACAGAAGCTGCGATTGTCATGCGTATCTTTCAGTGAAGCACGGTTCTGTGATCAGCAGTAAATCTCCATCCAAAGGCCAGAGGGCGCTCTCGCGCTCAAACTCCAAATACGCCTCGCAGACGAAACCCAGAAAATGCCTATGGCTGCAGCTGAATAAACAGAAGATTCAACTGCTTTCATTGATTCAGTGACTAATAAACACACGACTACGGCAATATACGGTTAATCTGGGTTCTTATTATTATAATTTTCATTAAAATAAAGTATATTTATAATGCAATGCCTTTATCACTGCTTAAATACTATGAAATATGTTGCGTGCCTTATTCTGTGTAAGAAGCCACATCATCTCACAGAAGGATTTATTTCAAACACTCGACTGACGTTATGAAGTGAGTTTGGAGTAAAAATATGTTATTAAATGTGGTATTTTCACATGCTTTCAGATGGAGCAGCATTTACTTCACAGAGCCGTAGTTCACTGAGAAGCTATGCAAACAGCTGTCATTATCGTGAACGATTTCTTCGATTTCAGAATCGCGCAATAAAATCGTCTGCAATTTTTTTGCGTAACTTGTCAGTGAACTACGGCTATGTGTAGTAAATTCTGCTCCATCTGAAAGCACGTGATGATGATTTACTGCTGATTACAGAACCGGCTTTACTAACAAAATGCGCATGACAATCGCATTCGATTAATCGTGCAGCCAGCCCTATGTCTTGGGCATTGCTTTTGTTTAAAAAGTAAAAAATGGAAATGGTTATGTAAGCTTGTTTCCATTGACATTTCTGTACAGTGCTATTACAAAAACTATTTTTGTACTTTATATTGTTTTTTTTTTCGACAGTTTTATTTTATATTATTTTAAACTGTACATACTTTAGATCACATTTTTGTTTCTTACACCCATTGGAGTGATTTTTGTTTCATACACATATGGATTTGCTTCTCGGTGTGAATTTTGTTTAAAATGTTAAGCTTATTTACGCATTTTATTATTTTTCTTTTTCAATTTTTATTAGAGCATTGTTAATATCTGTGGTAATATTAACAAAAAAAGCAGCTGTGCAGCATTTTTTCTGACAATTTGAAGCTGTCCCTGAATGTATTTTAAGAAAAAGTGTTGCTTGTGCTCTGCGACTGCGATAATATATGTTTTTTCCCCATCACTGTTGCTGTTATTCCCTCATAAGAGCCGGTCTGTCCTTATCAATAGTGTTTTATTTCAGTATTTTCATGTGTGTGAGTGATCTTTGCTGTTTTCCTGCCATTCCATTGTATATATTTTTAATATTGACGAACCATTAATGAATAAAATGTACTGAAATCTAAAGGATTCAGATTATGTTGAATGCTTCAAGGTTATTTTCATTACACACATAAAAAGGAAATAATGTTTAGTATTACTGAATAAAATTAATGTGACAGAGTATATATTTTTTATTTTGTAGAAAAACATACCCAACACTATACGAAAAATGTATCTTTATGTAGTAGTACATAACGAAAGACTGGCCCATATATTTCCACATATAATTCATATTTCATATATCATTGATATTCCTCTTCTCACAGATTTTCTCCAGATTTGAATGATTTTGTACGAATTGTATGAAGCTTCGGTCACTTGACAACTGGCAGTGTTTTAAAAAATATTGTCATATTTTTACTTAGTGTATACAAATAAACACAAAATGTATTTAATTGTGTTTGTGTTACCGTTCACTCTAGTCAAAACAAACTTTTGTGAGCTAGTACATCGATTATCACTGACGGAGTAGCGAGCTGTTCTGCTTGCGAGTTTGATATTTGATTTTATACTACAGTTCAATAAACAAGAAGCCAGTGATAAGTGACTTACATTTCAGAGGTAATATTGAAAGTCAGTTTGTCTGTTTTGCTCCACCAACGAAGTTTCAAACGGGAGCCGGTGTTGTGGCGAATTTAACAACTGGTTTGAATCACCGAGAAACACACACATCAGTGGCGTTTTGTTCCCGAATGAATCATTGAAGTTGAACGAATCAACTGCGTGAATGGTTCGGAGACTCACTCGTAAGGACAAGTCAAATGTGTCGCCACCTTCTGGCGTGACGTTGTAACCTGTAACATTGTAACCATAAACGTTTAACAAAACCTTTATCAATCCGTGTATCATTCGACCATTCGTTTTTTTATTTAATATTGAAAGTAGAAAAATTAGGAAACGGCTCCTTTTTTGTTTTTTTGTTTTTTTCCAAAAAAGGAAAAAACGAAAATTCAGCTTAAATGTTCGTTTTTCGTTCATGGGTGGAAAAATGAATAAACAGCTTGAATATTAGATTTCTACACGTGGGCGGGAATTAAACGCCCCTTTCTGCTGATTGGTCAGCCGAAGATCAAACCGTGCCTTCATCAGTTCTTCCGCAGTTTCATGCAGCAGAATAATAGTCCTATATAGTAGTTTCAAATAGTTTCAATAGTTTCAATATTAAATAAAAAAACGAATGATCGAATGATACACGGATTTTTATCCTATTCTGCATCCAATTCTCGTCTCATCTAAAATCAAAATTACGAGAATAAAGTTGTAGCAATTACAGAATTATGAGATTAAAGATATTGTTTTGAGAATAACATCTTTAATCTCACAATTCTTTAATTGCTACAATTTTACTCTCGCAATTTTGACTTTATTCTCAATATATTATTAATTTATGTCGTTTTGCTATGACTATATTCTTGTAATCTTTTAGGCTATTAAGAGTAATATAGTAAGTAGTAGTCGTGGTATACTGTGGGTTCAGCTGGAATCTTATTGACATTATAAAAATAATTCCAAGGGAAAGAAGGGAGTGCTAAGAAGCGCGTTCACAGCAGGCGTCGGTGGCGCGCACAGGCCGCGGCTGCAGAAGAGCTGATGGTGTTGGAGGCGCGCGTCCGCGCGACTGTAGCAGGATGGCGCACGCCAAACACACCAACACCATGTCCACTGATGTGGAGAGTCGCAGGCGACGGTCCACTGAGAGCTCAGGCGAGTATTTACACTCTTCATACAGTTATTCAGAAGCTCAGAGAGACTTTAGTCTAATTGTGCATTAATGAGAACTGTTTTAACCTAGTTTCTTTGCTTGTCTGCTTTGTTTGTTTTGGTTCCAGTGATTCTCCTAATCTATAGAAATTATTAACTTTTTTTTTTTTGTTGAGATTTTAAATTATGGAAACTTTCACATTAGTTAGTCGTTTTAGTGAATGCTGACAAATAAGAAAGCACTCAGATTTGTAGTGGGATTTTGGGAATGTGTCACACCTGGAAGGAGAGACCGATTTCACTTGCTCAACCAACGCTAATTGATTGTTTTTTTCTACTGCAAATACAAAGTTAAAAACATACATTATGTGCAAAAAAATGTGAAATATTGAAGTATTTGTTTGTTTTTAATCTGTCACCAATTTAAAGGCCATTTCCATCACTACATTGCTTAGATCTAACAAAAAAAATCGTAAGATTTTATTTACTTTTTTATTTGGTTTTATTTATTATCTTAAAGAAAATGTGATTTTTTTTTTTTTTGTTGGAATCATTTAGTATTGTGATCTTTGACTTCTAAAATATATGTTAAAGTTTTAAATATAACAATTAATTCATGCTCAAAGGAACATTTGGCTTGTTATTTTGAAATAAGATAGTAATCATTGTCTGCTGTTTAGTTATTTTTATTGCTTTGATGATTTTTTTGATGATCTCATGCCATGATATCAATTAGCAATGCAATAAGACACAGCTGATTCACTGATGTTCTGTGGGAAACTGATGTTCATGTGACCATCAGGAGTCTTTCGTTAGTTCCAGACTGACTGGTTGGGGACTCAACCAAGTCATCAGATGACCATGAGAAACCTCTAACCTCTAGAGTCATTGATTTCTTTCTCTGTATGACCTTTAGAGCCCCTCTGGGACCATGACCCCAAAGGCCGCCGCTGTAGCTCCCAGTGTGACAGACTGTGTGTAGCTGGAGCATATCTTGAGATCCCAGATACTCCTTCCCCCTGCACCTCCCAGTACTTTGGACACTACACCCCAAAATGCCTCTCTGCCCACAGTGAGTCTTCCTATAGTCTGTCTACTCAATTCATAAGTGCAAAAATAGCAATTAAAAAGTTTATGAAAGTGAAATATGAAAAGAATATGAAAGTTTCAGGGTTATTATAGTTATATATAATAACCAAAACTACAGTTAAAATCATTAAAATAAATAAAAAATAAAAGAAATGTAAACAGATATATATATATATATATATATATAAAAAAAAAAAAAAAATTTAATTAGTATATATATTTTTTTATTCTAATAACGTCCCCCCAAAATTTAGCAAAATATGCTTGAGATTAATATTTTTATTATGCATCTTTTCTAATCCAGCTTCATTACTCTGCAAAATGTGTGAAAATATTATTTAATTGTGCAAAGTATATGGAAGAAATACTAGCTATGAAATTGGCCCTTGAAAGAACAAGCAATCACCCTTTTTATTCCAAAGAATTATTGCAGACTTTTCTCCAAAAAAAAGATGAATAATTTTGTTCTTTGTTTTCTTCAGGGCATTCCCTGCATTCACGGTGCACAGATGATGTCTGGCAGGAAGCGAGCATCAGAACCACCATCCGAGCAGAAAACGAGGTGGAGGCACATAAACTTGCCAACAACTACAGGGTGTGTAAATATGAGCGCTTATTAAATATTCCTGTTTTAACAGTCAGAGATTTTTCCAGAGTGAGAAAAAGAAAACGGAACAATCCTTGGAATAAGTGGAGGAAATGTTTCAAATGATTCGTTTATGTCTGTATGCCAGTTTGGTTTCAGGAAATGGAAGAGTCATGTAACCGAACGACCCATTGAAGACAGATCTGATGTAGTTAAAGAGCTTTATTCTGACCTCAACTATATCAAACATCATTCAGGTTAGAAAAACTTTAATGAGAAAATTAGATGCATCCCAAAAATTACTGAACATTATAAATGTATTGATGTCATTGCTATAGATTAAAAATTGTTAAACAAAGTTAAAAAAAAAAAAAAAACACATTTAAAAAGTGCAAACATGCCTTTCAAGAAAGAACAATTCACAAAAATGTCACCAGTTTGTGACCAGAATTAATTGTCTGAGAAAAGTCTAGCATCATTTGTTTGCAGATGCCATGTGATTTTTATATTTTGCAGTCTATGCAGTGGCATTCCTGAAATTTTAAGTGTGGTTTGAATGTTTAAATTATAGTGTGTTTGTTAACTGTGATGTTTTTACTCCTAGGATCACTGGTCACTGTTGGGAATGTGATCTATGTATTGCTCTTTGGCTGGTGGATCTCCTTATTTTACTTCTTGGTTAGTCTGCTGATGTTTTGCACCATTGCTGGGATCCCATATGGTATGTCAGGGTTCTTTTGTTAACTCATTCTTATTAATAGTCCATTCCAGTTGCATTTGACACTTTATTCTCATTTGAATCTGTTCTCTCATATTTTATGATAGGAAAGCTTTGTTTGCAGCTGTCAGGTTATTTCTTATGGCCATTTGGAAAGGCATTACAGAAAGTAAGTGAAAAATCTGCAGAATTTTCCTTAAACACATACAGGTAGCCTATTCATGTACTGTATTTAAAAAAATTCTGTCACTGTTGATTCGATCTGCAAAGCCTACTTAAATAAGCTTCTCTTAATGCCTGCAGCATGGCAGATGACATTCATTCCAAAATGTTTTAATCAATTTTGACTTCCAAGGATTCACCGTCACTGATTTCAAATCCGAATGTGAATTCTCTCGTCTGACTGCACGTTTTTAAATTCTTCTTTCAGAGCAGCAGTCTGGTGAGGAAATGTTGTATGAAATTCCCACATTGTGAGGCCATTCCGGAGGTGGATGAGATAAAGGAGACTTCGGAGGTGAAAGAGTCTACACCTCTGCTGTGCTCCGCTCCTGCCATCACCACAGAAATCCCTTTGACTACACCGCCTCCAAAACAGACTCGTTACTGGGTGAGACTGTCCGTTTTGAGTGGTTTATTTAGCTGGTAGGCCATCATTATACTGTAAATCATTCTTGGGGTTTAGCGCATGGTTGGTAAAGTTGAGGATTGGGTTGCTGGTTTGAAGACCAATGAGGGTTAAGACTAAAATTTGAATTCATAAAATTGATATCTTAATGTTTTCTTTCTAGTGTCGGCTGAGTACGTATGTTTGGCTGGTGTTGGGATACCCCCTGCTGGCTGTGGTTCATTTCCTGGCTATCTTCCTGTCCTGGATGCTGGTTTTCACCATCCCGGTGTCAAAGATGAACGTCAGGACCTTGAGCATCATCCTGCTTATGCCACCAGAGGAGGTCATAATTCGGACTGTGAAAAAAGTAAGCATTATTCTGCTGTTTACATTAGTAGATCATCTTTTTTTTTTTGTACTAATGGTTGCCATGTTTTCTTTTCTTTAGGCACAAGGTTGTGAGACCAGAGTTCTGCTGTGCTGTTACCGTGCCTTTAACTGGTACTACTATAAATTTACTGTGGATGGGATCAATGTGTTTGCTGTCAGTATCCTTTATGTTATGGGTGTTTATAAAACTCGCTCACATAAAATGGTACCTTTTTTATTTATGATTTATTACATTTTTGTGAAATATACAGGGTGGGAAAAAATAATGATAAAACCCGAGGTGAAAATAAATAATCATGAAAATATAATAAGATGTATAAAAATAATACATAGTAAAAAGTAAATAAATATATACTTATTAAATAGTACACTAAAATGTTGTAAATAAAACAAAAATGATTGGAGTAAATACTATTTTGTTTTTTTTCCCCCCTTCAGATATTTTGCATTTATTTAATTTTTTAATTGCCATTTCTCTGTACTTGTTTGTGAAATGTTTGTGAAAAATGTTTCTACACTTTTTTTTTGTTGGTGTGTAAATAACATTGAAATTGTACCTATTGATAAATACCTTTTGCTAGCTTTATTGTACAAATGATATGCACCATTTTTTGTCATGGTACGATCTTTAAAAAACTTTATTCAGATCTGTTGCCTCTTGTTATTATCACCCTGGTGATCGGCTATATGGACAAAGATAATTATTATGTGAGCTCAGAGGCAAAGTTTGCCACAGCAGTGAGCTCTATTATCCCATTGTCTTACTACATTGGGATGGGGATAGCAAGGTAACATTAAAAATCCTAACTTGATTGCTAAAAGGATGTTTGTTTGTTTGTTTGTACCTGTTTTAGGTTAATATTTTTATAGTTTTTATATTATGGTTAATATTTTTATAATTTATATTGTAATGTATTATATTACTTTCCTCCGAGTATTTTCTTCTGCTTTTTTACTAATAATTATTTAAAATAATTTGTTAAAAAGAAAGATTAATTTTACTGTGAATACCATTGTTTTCCCTGTAGTATTTCTGCACAGAGTAACTTTGCAGTGGGAGCGGTAGTAAACGCCACGTTCGGCTCGATTACGGAGATGGCCTTTTACATCACAGCTTTGCTGCAGGGTCATCATGCAGGAAATAAGTGCTACGCAGAGATCGTCAAATCTGCTCTGACAGGCACACTGCTGGGCTGCATCCTCTTCATACCTGTGAGAGCGAGTGTGTGTGTTTATGTGTGTGTGTTCCTGTGCTGCTGCTGCTGCTGCTTCCTCACACTCTCTAAAAACTGCCATGTTGTACATTATAACATTTCCTCTAACAGCTGCATTCTGTGTGAGTGTGTTTTAGGGCATCTGTATGATCATCGGCGGCTGCAAACACAGAGAGCAGCAGTTCAACAGCAGGTCGGCAGGAGTCAGCTCAGCTCTGCTCTTTATATCAATAGGAGGTGAGAGAGCTAAAAATTCACTGTATTTATTAAGTGGAATTAATTATTTTTGACCTTTCACCTCTGTCTGACCGCAGGTGTTTTCGCCCCCACGCTGTTTTCAAAGGCTTATGGAAACTTTATATGTGAGGGCTGTAACAACTCGCCTGGTAACACCACAAATCCCTTCTTATGTAATAACTGCCACTACGACCTGGTTCGTTGTTTACTTAATAAAATTCAAGTCATTTAGACCTATTTTAATGATGCAAAGCACAGTAGTTAAATATATGGCCATGATGTTTTCCTACAGAGCGAAAACAACCGACCTCTTTTTTTGAGTCATATCGAGTGAGTATCTAAATGCATTTGTTTTACTACATAAAGACTTTTAAATGCATAAATGACGTCTTTGTTTTCAGGCCTTTAGTGTACACAATCTCTGTCCTGTTGCCTGCTGCATATCTCATTGGTCTGATCTTCACCCTTAAGACTCATTCGCATATTTATGATATCCACATCAGTGATGCCCACTGTCATGGTGTGTATTTGTGGTTTTGCTTTTGGATTATGTCATTCTGGTTGTATGATGTTTTATTATTTATTGTACTAATTGTTCTGTTTGTGTTAGTTGTTAGTGACCATGGTGCAGTGGTTCACTGGTCTAGATCGAGAGCTGTAGTGGTGCTCATTTTGGCTACAGTAATGATGGCAGCTTGCGCTGATCTCAGCACTGAGCACATCAAACCTATCATCTCCAACTCCAGTGTCTCACAGGTACATTTTATTTTATTTTTAAATAAAGTAAAATATAAAGTTTAAAAAATACTTAAATTATTCCTTCATTTATTTTAAATATGGAATTAATTTTATTTTATGATTTTCAGGTTATTTTGGTTTGATAGTTTTTTTTTATATTACTATAAAATAATTTATAAAAGTAATTTATTTTATAAAATGAATGTTTTTCCCATTTTTATATTTCACAAATGGAATTCAATTAAATATCTCCTATGCACAGTCCCTGTTCCTGCTCTGTAGTGATCTTGAATATTCACATATTATAAATATTGCAGTATTTTATTGGAGTTACTGTATTGGCCATGGTTCCCGAGCTTCCTGAGATAGTCAATGGGATCCAGTTTGCTCTTCAGAACAACATCAGCCTCAGGTTACAATAATTTGGTGTTAAAATAGATGTGCATTTCACTATTTTCACTATGTAATCTGGATGTGGCTTTAATATGGGTATTTGTTATCATGTAGCCTGGAAGTGGGGAGCTGTATTGCAGTTCAGGTGTGCATGTTGCAGATACCGCTACTGATCTTGTTCAATGCTTTTTATGTAAGTCACACTAAAAAAATAATAATAATTGAGTTGTTTCTGTTACTCGGTTCTGCAGTATGACACAACTTCTTTCTGTTTCTCCCAAGGATGTTGGATTCGTTCTCATATTCAGTGATTTACACCTCTGGGCAAGCATCTTTAGCGTTATTCTGGTCAACTACATATTTATGGATGGAAAGTCAGACTACTTCCAGGGTAAGTGTTATTATTAGTATTATTGATTAGATGAATGGTTTGTAAAAACATTAAACTTCTATCATCATTTACGCACCATCATGTTACTGTACAATACCTTTGTGTAAGGAACAGCCTTGAAAATCCTGCCTGACAGCCATGATCACCATTTACTTTCATTGTATGAAAAGAAAAGCTTGGACATTCTGCTATAAATCACTTCTTTGTATTCCACTGAAGAAAGCAAGTCATACAGGTTTGATAACCTGATAAAGGCTGATAACGTAATTTTCATTTTTGGGTGAGCTAATAAAATAATAATATAAATTTAAGGTATAGTGTATGAACTAACATATATCAGTTTGTTTAGATTAGTACAATTAGTTCAGGCTGCATTGTTACATAAAATAGTGATTAATAACTTTTTTTTTTTTAACAGGAACTGCTCTGGTGGTCGTGTACCTTATTCTTCTGGCTTTGTACTTTTTTGCACCTGCTCCTCTTGGATGTTGAGAAAAATGACTTTTTCCCTGTTATCTTTTATTGTTGACATGTATAGTGTTTTTGTGTATTCTTGTCTTATATATATACTGTAAAATTTGGAATATTTTCCAGCATGTGAAGTATGCAAGCTCTTACTTGTGAGCCGGATAGAAGCTAGGAGCGATTTCACTGTTTACTTGAAAATGCATAAAAATATTTAACATTCACAAAAAATAATTAGATGTCGCATCTATCAAAATGAACTAATAAATTTTGTATTCCTTTCATGAATTTTTCTTGAACTTGTGTATGTATGAATAGCAGATCCAATGCAGCCACCAGTTTGAACAAGTTTATTAATTTTTCAATAAAACACAAAACTGGAACACAAGTTACAGGTAACCGGTGAGTACCTTGAACATTTGCTTCACAACTAAGGAAGTGAAGTCCAGTGAGACCCCTTGTCTCAAAAAAAACCCCCACGAATGTAGGGACTCCCATCACACCATGCAGACCGAGTGAAAAGTTTCGCTGAAATCATTTCTGGAAATAAATGTGGTTGTCACGGTCTGCACGTCGCCTGTATGACAAAGCACCCTTAAATCCTGACCCAAGCAAACAGGAATCCAGTCATGCAGGTGGTGGTGGGTAGGTGCATATTATGGGCATGGATGTGACCTAATGCCAGAAAGAAGCTACTTCGACAACATAAATCAAAGGGTGTATTAATAGCAATTATGAATCTTTTAAAATTTTACTCAACTACATCAATTGCTGGTGCCTATTGAGTGTAGTTAAATCAATGGCCATGAACTGTAACAGGTTAAATAACCCAACAAGGCAAACGCATTAACTGAATTCAAGATGCTGTATTTGGCATTTTGACCAGAGATGTTTTGAATTCAGAGCTTTAGGTCAGCATAGTAAAAGATGCTCTGTTACATTATTGCTAAATGACGGGAAGGTTATCCGCTTTTCTGTACAGATATACACAAGGACCAAAATATCAGCATTGTGCTGACCAAATAGTTTTATTTACTGTAAATACATCAAGTGTTAGAAAGCTTGATGAAAATAGTAAGTGCGCATCTTTGTTGTATTAGAAATTCTGGTCAGCTTTTTCTAGAATAGAATTGGAGTTAAATAATAATAAAGTGTTTTTAGCAAGGCTTTGTTTAATTTAGCACATTATCACATCTTGCTCAGTAAAGGCACTAGATCAATTAAATGTGTCAATGTGTCAGTTTAAACATTTGGATGAGGGTTGATTTGTTTAAGGAAAAACATTTTATTTCAGTAAAAGCATGAAAAGTAAATTAAGGAGCACCTTGTTCACAGTGATGTAACGATTGGTTCACAAAACTGGGTGAAGCATGGGAACAGCTCTGCTATGACTGTACAGCTTTGTTAAAACATTACTTGGTCTGGTGTTTGTGCCTTAAGTGCAGATGAAACTGCAGATCTGACCAACAGCATTCAAACTAAACAACAATCTGTGTGAAAACCCATTTTGTTAAAACATTCAACTTTTCAACACTGTTTTGCACCATTTTCATTGAAGTAAAACCTTAAATCACAATCCCAGGCATCAATAGTTCTGCATAAGTCTGTTCAGATATCCAATCAGTTAATTGCTAATTGAACACTGATTACATCACTTCGGATTGAATATTCATGCCGTGGTGTGGTGATTCATAAAACGCCATTCTTTGACGGGAGAGGAAATATAATTAAGATACATCAGTAAAAACAACTCAATATCACTACTGAAGGCCAATAAATAACAATAATACAATCTCAAGAAAAAAAAAACAGCTTTCATTCAGGTCACTGACCTGTAGTGTTTGAGAAAAGAGCCTTCTAATGGATATTTATGTTTTGTATTGATTTTCAAATCATTAAAAGGTGCATACGCAAAAACAAAAAAAGGCATCCTACAGTTTTTGGTTTTAAGGCGGGCTGTGTTAGGATGGGGTGCCTTAGTCGATTCAGTTCTTCTCGTCCACAAGCTGGCTTCAAGTGCCGTCGTCCTGCCCGTGATCAGCTTCAAAAAACGAAAGAAAACAAAAAAATTGAAATAAAAAGGTACACACATAGTACATACACGATCTGTCTCTCACGCTCACAGCTCCCTCGCCTCTTTATTTCAAGCGTTCAATGAGTTCCTGGGTGAGGCCCAAGTTTAGCAGCTGTATCGGGGTAAGTTGGGCCAGGTGTGGGAAGGCTTTGAGTAGACGCTCCCAGCACAGCTCCAGCAGACTGGGCACTACCAGCCAGATCTTAAACAAGGAACCAGTCCTCTTATTCTCATGGATGTTCACCACGCCGCCGTGGATGTACATGCAGCCAGCCTGAAAGATTTTAGAACGATTTTAGACCCTTGCGTGTGTAAAAGAAACCCTTTGTTAACACCATTAACAGCAGAATAAATGTACGAAGATGACCAAAAAAACAAAACTGAACTGACCGGGGTAACAGCAGCACAGTGGAAGTACGCAGGTTCAGGCATCACTGCAGGTAGTTTGTTCCACTGAAACGTCTGCAGGTTGATTTTCCACAGGTCGTCCAGTATTACTTCACCATTGTAACCTCCACATATAAATACATCTGTCACAGAGAACAACAGTGATCACACACTGAGCTCTACAAAGTAACTTAAATTAAATATTTAAATTGTTAACTTCTTACCATTTTTAATTTGCACACAACTATGACATCTCCGAGGGGCTGGGTATCCTGGGGGGGAAAAAAAGCACAGAATAAGCATGCAATACAAACACTCACAGTGTGCTTTCCATTGTCAGATGTCAAATTTATTAAGATGAGAATTGCATTACTAACCTATTCTTTCATGAGGCTTAGTTGTGATTTCCTCCCAGGAATTTGTTTCAAGGTTATATGCGTGTATCTAATACAAACATTTGGGACAACTGTCATTTATATTAAAATTTCTAAAAAAAAAATCAAATCCATTTAATATGTACATTTTCTAACCTGAATACATATGACAATTGAAGTATGAATTACACAGAGATGTTTTCAGGTTTCATGAGCAAGGCCCATTAGTTCAAGTACACAAATGAAGTCATGTAACACGGACTAAAATGGTGATTCATGGAAACATTTGTACCTTGTCTAATGGGTAAGAAGTCCAGGAAGTTCCCCCTCCTAGAATATATATCCTCTGTCCATCATGGGCTATCTCATGCCTATATCTATACAAAACAAATTTAGAAGGAAGTTTGGCATATATCCTCATAGACTGACATTTTAGCATCAGACAGCATTCATAAATGTGTTTAGTGACCCTAGCATTGTTTAAAATAAAATTAAAAGGTCAAAAGTCACTTACCGCTCCTCAGGCAGGTCATCTGGAGGGTTGTTGGGTTTCAGATGAATCCACTCACGTGTCGTCAGATCCAGTCTGTGGAGATCTGTGCTGTAAATGTAGCCCGTCGTACCTCCAAATACATAGAGGAAGCCGTTTATTATGGCCATCGCCTGCAAAACAAATCAGGGATCACTCAATTAATCTATGCAGGTTAGTATGCTTACTAGCTCACTTACTTTTCAGTAATAGGTTACATCATATAATTTTTTTTTTTTTAAGGCTTTTGTACCTGTCCATATATTCGATTGGGTTTCTTGCCCCTGCAGTTGAGGAGGGACCAACGTTTGTATTTAACATTGCAGACATGAACATCATTTCCATTGTTTTCCCCAAACGGGATTCCGGTCCCGCCAAACACAAGCAGGTTGTTTCCGTGCAAAACAGCTGTGTGATGTACACAGAAGATGGTCAAGTGAGGTAAGAGGTTTAAAATAATTTTATATAATATACTAAAAACAATAAATTATACAAAAATGTATACTATACTATAATTTATACTAAACCAAAAAAATTACATATATATATATATATATATATATATATATAAAAAAAAAAAAAACGTTA